AATGAAAGATGAAATGAACTCCTCACACAAAAATGAAACATGGAACTTCGTTGAAAAACCTAAAGACCTTAAATTGATTGACTGCAAATGAGTTTCCAAGAATAAAGAGGGTGAATCAAAATCAAATAATAAGATATATAAGGTAGTGCTCATAGTAAAACGTTTTACTCATAGAGAAATAATAGACTATACTAAAAATTTTCTTACCAGTAGTAAAATATACATCCATCAAAGTATTACTTGCCATTGTAACTCAATTTGACTTAGAGTTAGAACACTTTGATGTGAATATTTCCTTCTTATATGTTTCTCTAGATAAAACCATATATATGACTCAACCAAAAGGGTTTGAAATGAAAAAGAAAGAGAACTTAGAGTGTCTCTTGAATAAATCCCTGTATGGATTGAAACAAGCCCTAAGGCAATGGTACAAGAGATTTGATTCTTTTATACAAGGGTTGAAGTTCGAGAAATTTGAATATGATCCTTAGTTTTATTTTAAAAGGGATGAAGAATCTGAATTCTTTTATCTTCTTTTATATGTTGATGATATGTTAATAGCTAGTAATAATTCTATTATTCTCAACTCTATAAAAGAAAAGTTGAAATTTGAATATGAAATGAAAGATTTAGAATCTGCTAGAAACATTTTAGGCATGGAAATAAAAAGTGACAAAATAAACGGGAAACTATTTTTAACACTAGAATCTTATATTGAAAAAATTGTTAAAAGATTTTTCCTTCATGATGCTAAGCCCGTCAGTCTGCCTTTGTCTGGTTTTGCAAAGTTATCTATTGATAGCTAATCTAAAACTTAAGATGAACTTAAAAGAATGATGAATGTGTTATATGCAAATGCTATTGGATCTGTCATGTATGTAATGGTGTGCTCTAAACCTGATATAGCCTATGCTGTAAGTGTGTTAAGTAGATTCATGAGTAATCTGGGTGAATTTCATTGGGAATGTAAGAAGAACTTGATTAAATATTTGAAAGGTGCATGTCAGCTAGGACTCATGTTTAAAACTGATAAAGATGGCTTTTTAAATTGAAAAGGATATGTTGACTCTGATTTTGCTAGAAATTCGGATAATGGAAAATCTACGACAACATACTTTTATGTGATAAATAATATGCGCATTAGCTGGAAATCCCAACTTCAAAAATTGGTTTAACCAAGGCTAAATATATTGTTGCTACTGAGGCAACAAAGGAATGTCAATGGTTGAAAGGCTTATTAAATGAATTAGGACTCATGGGAAATCTGGTGGAGCTATGTTCAGACAATCAAAGCGACATTTTCTTAAGTAAAAATCCAATTTTTCACGATAGACCTAAGCACATAAATGTCAAATTCCACTTTATTAGAGATATAGTTGATAGGGGGGATATTAAGTTGATCAAAATTCTCACTAAGATAAATACCGTTGATGCAAGTACAAAGGTAATATCACTCAGTAAGTTTTTAGACTCTTCGAGAATCTTTTAGTTTTCCATTGTTTTCTTTGTGAATAGGTAATAAGAGTGTATGAAGTTAAGATGATTAAGTTGGAATCCACTGAAGCGCTGTCACAAAATACAACGAAGGTGGAGATTGTAGAGATTGCGTTGTCAAATTTTGTGAGGCCTAAATATTTGGCCAATTGATGATCCAACAAGCCAAAGAATCCAGAATATGGAAAAATGTTTCTCTGTTAAACACGCCTTTAGTTGAAAAGGTACTTTTGCTTGATTGTTAATAAGTGATAGATCTTGCACAGTTGAATGATATAATTGGCTATGTCTCACATAAAATAGAGGCCAGTGACTTTAGGGTTTCATTCTATAATAATCTAGCAATCTTTCTCTCATGTGTTTCATCTTCTTCGTGTGTTCTTGATGATTCTCTCTGAAATTCTAAGTGTTATTTGAGAGGGAAAAATATGAGTGAAACTCATTTTGTGTTTGCACTATTTTGAGAAGATATTGCATATTGAGAGAGATTTGACTTTTGAGAGCTTTGTGTTCTTATAATTGAAACTTTGCCTATTTTGGTCGGTGCTAGTGGAATTGAGCTAATTCGTAACAGATGCTCAATGGGGGACTAGGCGTTAGAAGTGATCATTGAACCTCCTGGGTCTTTGGCCAAAAAATCCTTTGTGCTCTTTTATTTTCTTCTCAATTTGTTCGAGTTCTTTAGTTTTGAAACGATGAGTCACAAAGTTTAAGTAAATCTGGGACCAACAATTTCTTTTGGCAGTCTTATCACTTCCACGTATTATATTGCTTCTACTTTCATGTTCTCGAGTAGCTACACAGAACCCCTAGATGTATACTCCCGAAAAGGAATCTTTATTTCGACTTTACAATTAAGAACACACTGAGTGGAAAAGCTGTGCTCTATTAATATCTCCGGTTTATTTCACTTGCTTACATGTCTTTCTTATTCCCATGTTGGAAATGAGTAATGAACAATTATCCTATCATATGTGATTGTAGTTATTCAGGTTTGATAATAAGGTCAATTGATAAAAGGACAGGTTATATTAAGTCCCTATTTGTTTCTCATTCTTTCCCCATTAAAATGAAAAATATGACCATTATCAATTATATCGAGCCATCAAATTTGAATTTCTATCTTTTCTGTGAGGCCCGTAACACATATATTTTTCATTCTTATTATTACAAAAATGGAGCCTAAATAGCTCTATTTACAACCACTCAGAAATTCCAATTAAATTACTTTCAATGCTGGTGAAGAAAGCAACTATGTCGTTTTGTATTAAAATGAAACTTGTGATTTGTTAGATTGTAATGTTGCTGAAGATTGTAAACCTTAATTATGGTAGGACAAAAATTGAATTCGGTTCGATGTCCATGGCATAATTAAATTTTATTTTATTTTCAAGATAATGAGTAATTCTTGGTTCAGTTTGATTCTATTTGACGTCGGACGGAATTTGTTTGTGTCCATCCCTAATTTACACCCTTTGAAATAATGAAAAAATATTTAGTCACATATTTCTATTTATAGACTTCTAAAATATGCTAGTCGTTTTGCTATTGGAAGCCTGTTAGGCAATTTGTTGTCAAACAACCTCCTCGGGTGATGATGTAACCTCGGTTGTTTATTATCAATCGACCTTGGCCATATGATTGATTAGTACATCGACACAATTATCGAGACAACACAATCCACATTTTTATGGACCGTTTGAAGCAACCTATTTTAAATAGTGTTACTCACGGTTCTCGCTCCATTCTTTGGAAGGCTATATTATTATTGTTGAAGCCCACTTAATTGAGTCGAGCCTTGTTTTTTGGTCCACCGCTTAACTCTAACCTAACTTACCTATTTGGACATTTTACTTGGCATATAATCCCTTCCTTCCTCTCGGCCTCTATAGTGTGCCAATTCCCTTTCTCTTTGTGAGACTTCCTCTCGGCCCCTTCCTCTACTTCACTGTGACCTTTGTAGTTAATCTTTGTGGGCACATTATTAGACTTCTCCTTCTCCAATTTATAGCAACCGGAGTGGGCGGCGTCAAGTGGTGGTGTTGGAGTTGTCTCAACATGATAGTGTCGATGTTTTGGTTAACTGAG